GCAGAAAAGATACAGAGGAGTTTGTGTTCCGTTTACAGTCTAATAAGACTTACATTTATGATACTGTGGTTTTGTCCCAGAATCTGCTGCAGGAAGGTAACCCTGAAATAGCAAAGGATTGTTGGATATGTTTACCTATAACCCCAGGGGTTCACCAAGCCCTTCCTGTCCCAGCAGAATGGTGGTACAAAATCAAGACTAAGTTAGTTTTCACAGGAGAAAGACCCCCAAGTGGACTTGCTCGATCTTATTTTGATACACTTAAGAGGATGATATTGAGAATGGGACTAAAGCAAGGCCCCCCCATAGATGGGCCTGTGGCAATTGGAGTAGAAATGCTGGATAAGACACCAATATGTGTTCAGCGACATAATCCCCATGAACCCAAGAGACAAGTGGAAGTGGGGAGAATTGATGTGAATGCTTGTGCCATGGTAGTTTCAATGGTTCGTGATCATACTTTCACAATGATGAAAGTTATGCATGAAGTTACAAAACAGTTTAAAGATGTATATTTAACCAAAGGATCTAGAGTAACTATTTTGAAAGGAAATGTGAGAAAGAACTGGTGTCTGAATAAACCTGCCTATGACCAGTTCGATCTCCTCCCTTGGCTCTTAAAGGGCAAGAAGGGAAAGGATTGTTTCCCTATTCCCCAAAGGTCCCAAGAGGGACAATGGGAATACTCCTCATATTTTGTGGACCCTTCCCTGCCAGGCGTGGTAGTAAATAAATCAATGGAAGCCCCTGTAAAACCACAAGAAGGGGTTCAACCATTGGTTGGAATGTATGTGACTGAGACTTACACTGTGAAGTTCAGTGACAGTACCCAGGAAAAAGATTTTGAATTCACTTTGAGACCATGCCTGGAAGAGGGAGGAGTTTTCTTTCTCTGTGGGAACAAGGCATTCTGATGCCTGCCCCTTGACTGGGAAGGAATATGTACTTTAGCCTTCCTGTCTCCTAATGGTGGATTTATTAAAAAAAGGCAAACCCCGCCAATCCCTTTGGTAGGACACATTCGAAAGAAAAGATCCCCCCTCCTTCTTCCCTTGTTAATAGCTATAGGAGTAGCCACGGGAACTGGGATTGCCAGAATAACCCACTCTGCTATCGCAT